CAGGGACTGGAGGAGGACGAAAGGGCAAGCAAAATTTCACAAGGGAAAGTTCTTCTTTACAGAAACGCTTTTTTCTTCCTGTACGTGACATACCTAAGCACCTGTTCGAGGACAGCCAGTGTTATGCCCTTCGCTTGCCAGAAACTCTGCAAAGATAAAAGAGAAGAGCTATGTGACGAGTACCTTAAAGTAGATTACAGCATAAAATGCCAAGGAGTAAATTACAATCATCTTGTGATCGTAGCTTATGTTTCAGCTGCATACATCATTGCTTTACCTGCTCTTTCTCTCGTCGCACTTTGGAGGCATCGGCGAACAATCATAACCAAGAAAGACAGTGATAATGGCTCTGATCCAGAAGTTGTTGACGGATTGCGATTTCTCTTCGAAAATTACAAACCTTGTTCTTGGTACTGGGAACTGATTGAAATGTCCCGCAAATTCATTCTTACGTGCGGCCTCATTCTCGTGGGTCAAGAAAGCAGATCCTTCATTGGATTGGCCTGGGTTGTTGCCGGTATGTATGCAGTGCTTTTCTGCTGGATCAAACCCATGCAAGACACTTTTGAGAACAGACTGATGTCCACTTCTCTTGCCGTTACACTTGTAAATCTGGGTATCGGTGCTGTGAGCAGAATTCCGACTGAGAACATATTAAACATGGCGGACCATCACAAGGACGCTTTGGCAATGAAAATACTGATTATTGGGGCGAATACGTTGGTGATTGGCCTCCTTGTTGGTAAGATAAACATCAGTTTCATGGAAAGAAACTCAACTGCAACTTTTATATGTTACTTTGTGTTGTCCGAAATATTAACCACAGTAGTGTCATATCATTCACATTAAAGGTAGCCTTATCGTATCTCGAGTTTATTTGAACAGCAACTAACCATTGAAATAAAACGCACAATAAGAGTTTGGTCTTTCTATAGAGCTCAATTTATTTGGTTAAAAATTGAAACTACGTTACAGGCTTCTATGGTTTGTAATTCCACACCTTATAAGATTTTTACAGTTAAACAGAGGAAGTTTAATTCTCTGATCAATCATTTTCTTCCTAGTTCAGTACTTGGCATACTTACATCAGGTCTTCAAAGAGTGGCGCAAAAATCCAAAATGGTCCTTTTCTTGTTGCCTGGCCTTGCTTCTTCCACTTAATGACCTACAAGGCGAGATACGTGGGATGGTTGGCAAAAACATGCTTAAAACACAACTTCAGTCAGGGATCATTGGGAAGCCCTCCATTGCGGCCAGTGCAAAAGATACTGGAGCATTGAGTTTTTCTTCAAGCCATGAAGACAGGGAAAGACAAGAAAGAAGTCCAGTAAAATCCAGAGTGACTAGATGCAGCAACACTAAATGTGACCGTGGGACTCAAACAGAAATAATCGCACCGGCATCTGCCGCTACCGCTGAACATGCACAAGTATCATGGAAAGCGTGCCGGCAGATAACCATGTGAGTACATGGCTAGTAATTCCTGTTTTCGTTTGTTTGTTTGTTTTTGTGTTTTGGGTGATGGCGATGTTGTTTCAGAGACAACGTCCACTAAACTGGTCTGGTAAATCTCTTAAGAAGCGTCCCTGCTAAAGATAGACATTTGAATAAGATTCTGCGCGACATGGCTTTACAAAAAAAGGCCATCCTACCTAAGCTGATATGGGTGATGCAAAGTCGTCTCCCCTACTCTTAGCATTGACCTACATGTTATAATAATGACGGGTTGAAATAAATATGTAACGTATGCAACTTCTTCCAGACTATAGGCCGACTGACCTCTTTATTTCGTTCGTGAAAGAGAGGTACAAAAGTGAACTTTTTTTTACACTTGTACATCTTTAGAATCTGCCAACCTGTATTCTTGGTTAGTCGTAGACATACGATATGTTGGTGATCCTTCATTTGATTCATAAGAGAAAATATAATGGACTCTCTAATTTGTGACATAGATTCTATTGCTAGACATTTTCAAGGCTTGTCTTTCTTTTGGGAGGCATTGAGAATAGCCCCTACGTACGCTGGCCAGTTACCGTGCATTTTTCTTCGTTGATTTTGTCACATATGCTACAACCTAAATGCACTTAAATTACTTTATATGTTTATGTAAAAGAGACACAAGGATCCAATCGCTCTGACAAATGGCTAACGCTCGAAACGTCAGCCTTTAAACTCTTTACAGTGGCTAATTTACGTTTTCAACTCAGCTGATAACACTTACTTACCCTTTGAAAAATTGCATTTTTTTACAGGACTCGGCACTCTGTCCATCACATACCACTTGCTGAAGCAGAGGAAGCCACTTCAAAAGACGAAAAGACCGACAGGAATAATGGAGAATAAAGAACACATCAAGAAATATCATTACATTTATCATACAAGGCAACGCATCCTCTTTCCTTTAAAATATTTAATAGAATTGCGAGAGCAGATGTGTTCAGGCGAAACATGGTTTTTAATGATGAACTCTATTAACGTTTTTGGGGTATTATTTGCTCCTATTGACATATAATACTCACATTAATTATCGCATTAGATGTTTCCTTAATGAAGGCATCGTTCCGATTTACACAAATCCACACTCTATAGAATAATCAGATATGCACGTGATAATCCCGTTTGAAAACGGGCTGCACCGGTTTTGAACAAACGTACGTTGTCATTATTAGCAGTATCACATTAGCAGAGGTAGTACATGAAGTGGCAATATTCATAAATATTGCTATAAGCTAATAACAGTGATACTGATACAGTTTTGGTTTAATTCATTATTAAACGGGTATTCTTTAGTTTGTAGACATGCTTGTTCAGGAGGACAGCAGCAAGACATGAAAAATAAAGTACCTCGCTTCGTTCGTGATTTTAATAAAGTTTTAGCACAAATATTACGTCATTTGCTTTGGTGCTACGTGTGGAATCCCCTTGCCCCTTTCGAAAAAACACATGATATGTAATTCAGTTATCTCAAATGTAAATACTTTTAGGGTGGAAAAAATAACTAGGGAACCTTTAATTATCCCTCTGGGGAGGGGAATTTTTTGAGGGGACACACAGTTTTCCAGGGGTAAGTTGACTGCCAATTAACTTCCGATGAGGAGGGGAAGGGTGGTCATAATAGTATTATAGAGCCTTACGGAGGATGAGGCATATTTAGTTATGACACAACTAAAATTCTCTAGCTTAAATGTGAACTTGACACATTTTCAGTCAAACGTGGACAGTAACTTTGATAGCTGTCATCAATATTTTATTTCCTTCATATCGTAAACAAAAAATCCGACCCCCTCAAATGAAGATTAAATATTAAAGTCTAAGAAAAGATATTACAATTCAGTTTTAAAGAAGATTTCGTCGAGGATAGAAACACATCAGAGACACGGCTGAAATTGAACAATTAATGGTGGGTAAGGTTTCCCTTACTGTATTTCTGCTATAAAAAAGGTTTTGAGATCTCTCTTTAATTTCAAAACGTGATTGTTTTCATCAAGCCACACCGTTTCACTGAGTGAGAATATCAAGGACATATCCGAAAGGCGTGATAGATTTACGTCTGTGGAAACACTCCTTAAAATTGATGTTATGCATGACATGAAACATGCCACGATGAAACACACTCTGGTTAAGATGATTGCTGATTTCTTGAGTGTGGCATTTTTCCATTTATCAGTTTCAAAACAAAGGCAAAAACTAGTCTTGAATTTCCCACCCGTACTGCAAGCTGAGAAATGAAGAGAAACCAGTTTAATATTTGAGTAACAATCATTTCCTCGTAAACTGAGTTTTATATACACTTCACACGTACAAAGATATATTTTGGACTCTTGGGCGTTAGCTTCCCCTGCTAATCTGATGTGACCGTTCACAGCTATTTGCTAGAGCGTTCGTTTGCGCTTAAATGTTCTTTTCGAAATCCTGCGAGTACGTGCATCTGTGGTGAAGATCGACTTCACAGATAGATAAATCCAGTATTTAAAATCCTTCAAAACGTTGTTTAACAGAAAACAATTCTTAGCTAATAAAAAAGATAATTAAAGTGTTTGATCTCATGAAATTTTATCGATGGCGCTTTCTTTTTAGGCAAAAGGCTTAATTATGTATTCGTTTGTTCGTTTTCGTACAAAGTTATATTTTCGACTCTTTGGTGTTGGCTTCGCCGGTGAAACTGATGTTTAAAGATATTTTCTAGAGCGTTCGTCAATAAAACTGTCAAGGAGCAATTGAAATGTTGGGATTTTACTCATACCGCAATTTCAAAAACTAATAAACTGAACCCTTTAAAAAGAAAGTCATTTCACAGGTCGATATTAAACAGCACTTAGATAACATATTGATCGTCAGAGAGACGGGGCGTAAACGACCTAATTAACGCCCCGGGCGTCTTTTAAATATAGTGCGATAAGAGGAGGAGGGGTGTGGAATTATTACCTAAGAGGTGTTTTTGTAGGAAGGCATTTATTGACGTTTAACATTGAAATTCAACTGTAGTAACAGTATATTACGTGCGACTATAAAATTACAAGAAAAAAGGGGAATATAAAACCGTTACTTTTCAATTTCAATGCCCCTGAGGCTCGTTGCACTCATTAGCCTCATCAATGTCCGAATCTCTGTAGAACGTCATCCTTGCTACTCTGCTGCATATCAATAGTGAGAGGCATTTCGAAAACATTTGAAATTTCTATGGGGCATTAATAAGATATAAATTGGAGGGATGGTGTTCATTAATTTCGGCTATTAAAATAACCTGTGGGTGATGTGAGGATAGCCCTAGTTGTTTTGAAGGTGTATGCAATGTACTTCACGTGAAACAATATTTGGCCGACTGTGACAGGATGAGTTTCAAGCCCTTGAGCCGAAGTACGCTTCTGCGTATCTTTGCTGTTTGTCCCACCTCTGTTTGAAAGTCACTTCAAGGCTTAGATTACGTTAGTTCTGCAGGATGGCAGGCATTTGAAGACTTATCTGACGTCGCAGAAAGACTTGAAGACGCGGGGAAAGGCATGATGGGCTGGACGAAAGATACACAGAGTCGCCTTCGACTTGGAAAGCGTTACCTCAAAAGGGATTACAAGGCAAAGGTTCTTCATATTCATTCTATAACGTTCTCAAACACGTTAACAGTTCTTAAAGCGGAATACACGTTTGTAGAAGGTGCTTCTCTACCGATTAAGCTCATGCACTCGTGTGAACGAAATACCCTTTTACGAGAGAGGCAAGCTTCAATCTGAGCCTGGCTGAAATTTTTGTCAGGTAAAAAGTTGATCTGTATATTTCTTTTAGATCGCAAATATTGCTGGAAAATTTGTTTCTTTTTCTTTCGATTACTTTTTTAGAGTTTCGCAATGACTACTTTTTTAGTGTATATTAATTACATGGCACCTAGGCCCATCAAAACGTATGAGCATTGCATGTGGTCTGGTCAACTGTCGTGTGTAATTTGTTTTGTGTGTATTATAAGTGCACGCGTGTTAGGGTTCTACTGTGGCCGATCACTGCAAATTGTTTGCGTTGAGCGACCCAAAGAAGCTTGCCTTTCAAGCTCAGTGCGGCCATCATCATGACGACACCTGTGATCGCAACGACCAACTAATGTCATCTCTCAGCGAAATAGAATCAGCAATGATCGCCCAGACATATAACCTGCTACCCGAAGTCAAGGAAGAACTTTCGTTTACTGTAAAGCAAGCTAAAACAAACATCTATGCCTGGAGGGCTCATATAGTATGCTCCTCAAATCAAGATGCTGCAAGGATCGATATCCTCGAGTCATTAGAGGAGTCATCAGTGCTACTTATACTGGGCTATGAAATATTTGCCGAGAAAATACCGAGAAAGCCAAACCGGTTGGTTTGGCAAATGTGGCATTACTTGGCACACCAGCGTAGCCTTCAGAAAGGTTAGCGAACGTCTTCAAATGCTAACCTTCGCTCACATCTTCTAGAGGTGCACTCAAGACAGCTGTGCGGTCCTCGCTATCGGACGTTATTAAACAACTCAAGACCATCATGCCAGATCTGAAGACAGTCAGTTATAGCCAAGACAACGCTGGCCGCTACCATAGCGGGTCTACCATAGTCTGCGCAAACGTGGTAGGAAAAGAGTTGGGCGTAGCGATCAAACGATTGGATTTTTCAGATCCCCAGTTTGGAAAAGGAGCTAGTGATCGTAAGGCAGTCTTAATAAAGTCACACATGCACATTCACTTAAACTCTGGCAACGATATCGAGAAGCTCGCGCAGATGGTTGAGGCTATTCTTTCTTCCGGTGGAGTGGCATCCGTAAGTGTCACACGCTACGAGTCTATCACAAGCCCTCCGATGGTCACTTGCAAAATTGATGGTTTGAGTAAACTCTCAAATACAGAGCTCACTATAGAGGGAATCCGTGTATGGAGAGCATACGGTGTGGGACCTGGGAAACTGATATCTGCTCCGAAGGCTGAGATCCCATCACCAGATACTCTGCCGTCAATGGTAGTATAATCCTGGCGTACCCAAGCTCTTTCTACTCCGTCGTGAAAGGGCGGACTACCACAACACATCCGAGTGAAACCCATGCCACTAGAGACCAGACGGAAACCGACTAAGAGCCTGCAACAGCAAACGAGACACTGTTTACATGCCCAGAAGAAGGATGTAGTAAGACATTCCTGAGGCACTCCTACATGATGTAACGCATAGACTGTGGCAAACACCAACTTGCGCTAGAGCATGAGACGCTTTTTGACAAAGCTGCATTATGTATGCAGAGCACCTGGAGGGACAGCCAACGCTGGTACCGGTTGTCGGAACAGTCAGCTCGCCCGTAAGTGACACAAACAGACAGGTGATGGGCTAAGCAATTAAGTCAGGTGAGTCACGAATAACCATGCTCAACCAAAACCAGAAGTCCTATCGGACTGCAAAGTTTAGAATTGGAGAGGAGAAGTAAGACAGATCCAGCAGCTGTTGCACGATCAATGATGTGTGCCAAGGATTCGACTGGCAACGTGTTGTTTGAGAGTAACGAATTCCTGACCACTAACCAAATAGTAGGGTTTTTTTTTCACGTCTTGCCTCGAAGAAAACCCTTGTGGATGACGAGCAGCAAGGCGATATCGAAGTTATTACACTTGAGGCCGGTTTGGACGAGATTGTCGGTGAGGCTGTCCGTGAGCTAACACCTAAACACCCAATTGTTTACGATTCCTACAATTCGTGTGAGCTGGCGTCCCAGAAGAAGATGAGTGACTTTTCCATTGCTGTATTAAAGGACATTTTGAATTCTTTTGACGTTGACCTTTCAGATGTTATAGTTGGGCGCAACAAGCCCTACATCGAAAAGCTGCAGTCGCTTTGCGAGGAATACGCATGTCAGCGTTGAGGGATGAGTGGCTAAGCCAATGTTAATTAATTGTTCTAACAGAACTTTCATTTAGTCATGCTGTAAAGTTCGTCGGGAGCATGGGGAAAAAATCTTTGTCGCCGTCCTGTATACCCTCTAGGATTGTTAACGACGACGACTGATTATAATGAAGTGTGTTAATGAAATGTGCTTCTGAGATGGAAAAAAAAAATGTTACTCTTGTTCTCACTCGATTCCGATTTTGTTCCAATAGCTGTCTCTGAAGCCTTTTGAGGTGAAATACGTGTTGCTAATATTGGAACCATTTATGTACTGATGTCGCAACCTCGTTCCCAGGGTTTCTCTTCTTCCCACCCCAATCTGAGAACTAGGTTGTCCATGTAATGAAATGGTCGCTATCGTTTTTCCTAAATGTCGTCAAATTGTTCGTTTCCTTGAAAGCCCTCTAAAATAGTTTAGCTAATGGCCCACAACACATAATTAGTAATTTAATGTTCTGTTTCCTTTTTTAGCTGCTTCTCGTTCCTCATGCAGTTAAAAACTAGGGGTCTAATAATCGTGTAATCACACTTTTTTCTATACGCTTTTGCAGTTCGATTGTGAAACGCCGCTTCCATGAAAAAGAAGAAAGAAAAATACACGAGTATAAGAGGTCGCAATGTTCACATTTGGGAAAACGTGTGTCGCTGTCTCAGTTTTCATGCTTCTCAAAAGCATGAAAAAAAGTTCCCTGTGGACTCACTTGCTGGACTGCTGCACATTCCCATTGCTTGTACTGATAATTTGGAAATACATCTACATAATGGGACGTTAGATTTCGTCTATTTGTGTGGCTTCTTGGTATTTTGTTTTGCTTCTAAAAGATCATGACGTCCAGTGGTAAAATCTACTTCGTAACCATTGCGTGACTTAACAGATACGATCACGATTGCATAAGAGATTTCGGCAAAAATGGTGTTGGAATGCTGTAAAGAGCACTTTGGGAGAAACTGCTTTGAAACTCGAAGCAAAACAAATTATTTTGATCTGTAAAGGCTCTTATAGGTTAGCTGTAGAAAAAATAAGCAAGGAAAATTGAATAAACTCATGTAAGCTGATCCGGCTCAGGGTGACACTAATTTTAAAATGTCTACCCGAGATGGCTAATCTACTAGAGATAAAATACTCACGGAAATTACTGACGACCACATAGATTAATTAGAATGTAAAATGTATAATCGTTTGCTTACGGGTGTGGAGAATGTGCTATTTGTTGACTTCCGGTTGACACGCTTTTGTTGTGATAACCGCTATTTTAAGAGGCTTCCTACTCGGCGCTGGTAAAAAGCCCGAAACCAATTTTTTCACCTCATTTTAGACCAGCATTTATTCTCATAAGAATACCAATTTCAAATTATTCGATGTTTTACCGGGTACAAAAAATGTCCCTTAAAAAAACACGCTAAATTACAAATTATTCGAAAGTGAATTATGGTTAATTTCATCGGCTTACCTTTAGATTTCATTCACTGGAGTAAGATTTAAGTCAAGTTGCAAAGACTTCAATAGCAATGTTGAAAGCACGAAGCGTTTCTTTCTATGATGCGAATGCAAAAGGACGAATTTTATGGGAAGGTACCAATCACGTATTTTTCGGATGCCTTTCAGGATATTTTGGCTCGTGACGGTTTTTTTATTTTATTTTATGGAGGTTTAAAAAGATATTACTAGAAAAAAATCCTATAACGTTTTTTAAGCCACTATAGGGCATCTTCAGAGAAAATATGAAAAATCTTGATTTTTTTAGATGTGCCACGAATTTTCATTTTCGCTTGGTCTTAGTGGACATTCTCTCTAAATGCTTCCAGTCTACCTTCATTATGAAGTTTCTCTTCTGTCTGCAAACCGCGGCCATTGCTATCGTTATTGTGGTGAGTAAATTGGAATGTGAAGTTATCACATATGTCATCCCCAGTCACGGCGCTGACTTGAGTTTCGTTGAGAAAATTTTTTGGAGGAAATAAGATCAAAAGCCTGAAAATATTCCTTTATTTGGATAACTATGAGCAAAAAGGTGTGAAAGTAGAAGCTTTTTGACAGACATTCTCCAAAATTTTACTAAAGAGTTATAATCAGAAGTTACGACCAACTAGGAAAGACCCTTCCATACTCCTCAGGAACTAAGGCTTTACGATCAAGCGGCCTGGGCTCCTTTGGAAGAATATGATTAAATCTATATTATTATCCTTATTGTTATCATTACTGTTCCAAGTTCCAAGATCCAAGCTCACACTCGGTCCACGCCACCATCCTTGTTTGATCTTAACCATTAAATAAATCAATTCACAATAGAATTAGCTCTCCTTCAGTGAGAATACTCTCTGAAATGATTTCCAGATGTCCACCTACTAAAGATTTAATTTTGACTGTGATCAGTGAAGTTTTCGTACTCTATTTCATTACGATGTTTTGTCAGCAATTGGAATCACACAATCGATATTTGAGCACTTTTTGATCAAGTGACGTAAGACCAAGAGTAAAATAATTCCTCAAATGGAACAAAGTAACTATAAAAGGTTTATGAGAGCTGAAAGTAAACGGCACGAATAGAGACTTGAAAACACGGATAATCAAGTCGCGATCTGAGTTGAATACTTTCTCTGATTGGTTGATTGATTGGCAACTGCTTGCGAGTAGGCCGTGAATATCAGCACTTCTGTACGGGCGTTTATTTACCCACGACAAAGTAAGTATCAGGCCGTGAGAAAAAACAAAACAAAACAAAACAAAACCGGCGAGGCAAGGGGTCTAGGCTCATTATTAGTGCCCCACCCTCCCTGCAAACGTTTCCCCAGGCTCGTCACAAATCTTCTTGTGGGCGGAGAAACGCACCTGCCGCAGGGCCAATAATGATCGAGGGCCTGCTCGCCTGCAGCTGCTCGTAGGATACGATCGCACAAGTTTATAAACCAATCGCGTAGTGCAATGAGGCAAAAGAAATCCATCACGCGTAATTGAGCTCAGGCACTCATTTGAAGATTGCCGTGAATTAGATCCTGTCATTTTGTCACGGCCCACACTCTTAAGTAAAATGATCTGAGGAATTTGTCTCATTCGAATGGAGAAATGATTGAGAGGTCTAATCTAGGAAGTTATATGGATTGGTTCCCTGCGAATTTGAACGAAGCCTCTTAACTGGGGTGGGGAAATTACTCCAAAAAATCCAGCGAACAAGTAAAGACCAGGATGTACAGTTAGATATCAGATCTTCGACAAAATGTTTGGGACAACCTTAAATTTCGTTTAATTGACTCGTTGATTCCACTTCTTCGTTACAATATATAGATTGTTTACTAGATAAAGTAGGATGCAAATTTTGAACACAAAGGATGGAAATACAAGCTCTAAACACCTCTTTCTAAGCGAGTTCATAACTAACAGTACAGCCCGAAAAAACGAGTTACTAAGATATTTATCATATTTTGGGGTTCAAATGGATGAGGAGGATTTAACTTAAACAAACTTTTGAATTTAGCGAGGCGTTAAGTGAAGTACGACCCGTTTAATTGACCAATCATAGCGACTTATTAAATGAGATATGATGACAATTGTGCATTGATATGAATCTGGTTATTTCATGCAAGATGCCTCTAAGATTCCTGTCAAGGATTTTAGCAATACTCCTTTCAAGAAACATAATTAAATCATATTTCATCCAATTCTAAGTTTTTTTCTAGGTCATATATAGTGATGAGAGGTCGGGTCGGTAAATTATCAGGAATTTTTCTTTTAGGCAGAGGTTGCATCTTTTACTGGAGCTGTTGCAAGCACAAAAACTCTACCGAACTTAGCAAACACATCTGGACACTCAAGAACGACAACATTGACTATTCTATTTCATGGCGCGTCTTATCATCTAACTCTCCCTACAACAGCTCCAGTAAAAGATGCAACCTCTGCCTAAAAGAAAAATTCCTGATAATTTACCGACCCGACCTCTCATCACTAAATAAGCGTAACGAACTCGTATCTTCATGCCGACACAGAAACAAAGCGTTGCTACGCAACAGCTGAACTTTAAAGTTTTTAAGTTTACCGCGTATTATGTAAATTTTCCTAGTATATAAACGATAGTCACATGAATATTCTTTCATTAAAC